TTTTGGATAATGTTGACAATCTTTTCAGGAACTCCATAGTGTCGAAGAAGTTTCCATAATGTTCTCCTGTCCACACTGTCAAACGCCTTTCCATAGTCAATGAAGTTGACGTATAGTGATGAGTTCCACTCAACTGATTGTTCAACGATGATCCGTAGTGTCGCAATCTGGTCTGTGCACGACCGATCCTTACGGATTCCAGCCTGATGATCCCTTAGTTCGGCGTCTACTGCGTCTTTCATCCGATTCTGTAGTTCTCACATAGGCTCAGATCTCCTTTCTTTGGTATCTTGATGAGATATCCTTCTTTCCAGTCCATTGGCACTTGTTCCTCTTCCCAAATCTTTTTGTATAGAAGGTGAAGCATGTTTGCAGTTATTTCAATGTCTGACTTCAGTGCTTCTGCTGGTATATTGTCAGGTCCTGCCGCCTTCCCACTTTTGATTTGTCTGATGGCCATCATGACTTCTTCGATCGTTGGTGGAGTGACATCTATTGGAAGGTCTGTGTGGGCTGCTTCGATGTTCGGTGGATTCAATGGGGCTGGTCTATTCAGCAGTTCCTCGAAGTATTCTGCCCATCTTTTCCTCTGTTCTTGAATCTCAGTGATTGTCTTTCCTTCTTTGTCCTTGACTGGTCTCTGGTTTGCTATATCTCCCTGCCAATTTCTTCGTTGTATCATATAGTTGTTTCATATTCCCTTCTCTTGCAGCTTTTTCCGCCGCCGTTGCTAGTTCTCCCATGTATTTCTGTTTGTCGGCTTTAATGCTTTTCTTCACTTCCCTGTTTGCTTCTGCGTAGTCTGCTTGTGCTTTGACTTTCTCTGCTCGTGTTCGGCTGTTGTTAATTGCTAGTTTCTTGTCCTTCCTTTCTTGAATCTTGTCCAGGGTTCCCAGAGAGATCCATTCCTTGTGATGATGCTTCTTAGGACCAAGAACCTCCTGACACGTTGAAGTTAGTGCTTCTTTTATCCCTTTCCAGTTGTCCTCCAAAGTAGTTTCTTGTTCTTTCAGTAGATCCTGTAGAGCTTGGAACCTATTGTTGAGAATTATATTGAATTCATGGAGCTTGTCAGCATCTCGAAGGAAGGCTGCATTAAACCTTTGTAGTGTTGTTTGTATAGTTGTCTAGTCTTTCTTAAGCTTCAGTCTCATCTTGGCCACAACCAGGTGGTGATCTGAAGCTATGTCAGCTCCTCTCCGGGTTCTCACATCTTCCATTGATCTTCGGAATTTTTTGTTGATACAGATGTGATCTATCTGGTTCTCTGTGGTGTGGTCCGGTGAGATCCATGTAGCTGTGTGTATGCGTTTGTGTGGGAATATTGTGCCGCCTATAACCAATTTGTTGAAAGCACATAGGTTTGCAAGTCTCTCCCCATTTTCATTTCTTTCTCTTAGTCCATGTCGTCCAATTACATCTTCATATCCTGTGTTGTCCACTCCAACTTTAGCATTTAGACCTCCCATCAGGATGGTGAGGTCCTTTCGTGAGCACTTTGCTACAATTGATTGCAGCCTTTCATAGAACTGATCTTTATCATCGTCGTTGCTATCATTGGTGGGTGCATAACATTGGATAACGTTCATTGTGATCCCTTGCTTCTTTGTTCTGAATGATGCTTTGATTATCCTGGGTCCATGAGATTCCCATCCCACAAGTGCATTTCTTGCTTCTTTGGACAGCAATCCAGCAACTCCCTGAGTGTGTGGAGCATTTTCCCCTTCGTGACCAGAGTACAGCAGCATCTCTCCTGTACCTAGACTTTGTTGTCCAGTTTGTGTCCAATGGGTTTCGCTGATTCCGAGTACTGCCAAGTTGTATCTCCTCATTTCCATTGCTATTTGGCTGGTCTTTCCTGTCTCCCACATTGTCCGGACGTTCCATGTACCTACAAAGAGTGTTGCTCTGGTTGTTAGAAGGTGCATCGCTCTCGTGACTTCCGAAGAATTTCGGCTTTCATCATGAGACGTCATAATTATTCCTTCAACTCCCAGGGCAGAGTTTAAATGGTTTGAATTATTTTTTCTGGTTAGCGTTTTTTTAGCGAGTTAGCTTTTCTACGGCATGGGGTCGCTAACCCCATGCCCAACCCTCCTCCTTTACCCGGGCTTGGGACCGGCAGTAACTCTAGAAGAGCTACAGGTGGAGTTTATTGAAGCTTTAGCCATACGAAAATTCAAAACCCCTTTGTGTATTCAAAAACAGTTTGTCCTCTCCTTAAACCTACTTTGGTAATAAATGCTTATTATCCAGAGTGATTAGGTGTCTTTCATAGAATACTTTATCATCCTATCACTAAAATCTGACGTCATATCTTGGACACCTAACATGAATCTAAGAGCGATACTCTGACGAAATAACACCATGTAATTAAAAATGGTTTTCCTGATTCAATATAATGACAGAAATCTTTCGCATACTTATATAAGAACTTTCGTCTAAATTATTGCCAATAGTTTCACAGTATTTGGGAGCCGAGTTGATGTAAGACATTAAATACGAATAATAAGTTTGCAAAATCTCAGCGAATGAATCCAACGTTATGTCTGGCAATCTGGTCCAAGCTTTTTCGAGGACCGGATTGCCAGGCAAAATGTTGGATTTACTTCAAATTCATTCGCTAATATTTTTCAAATTTGTTATTCTTATTTAATGTCATTTTGCATACTTATTGTAAAATAATCTATTTTAAAAACCCATTTCGTTTTAAGCTTTAGAGTATGATATAAATGTAGATTTGCTTAACATATTTCTGAAAATTCCCATAGGTCATCATTTCTCTTTTTTGAAAAGTCGTTGAAGTAAAATCTGTAAAGACATTATTTTCTGGGAACATCTAAGTATAACCAATGGGCATGAGTACAGCAATGTGCTTTATCATTACTGAGTTCATTGTGGCAAAGCATGCTGCCTATGTATTAAATTGACGAATTTCACAGTCACTGAGTATAACATTATTGATAACGGTGTACAGAATTGTGAACATTTGATCTCAACAACACTTCTCGTTGATCACTAATTTTTTTATGTCGACAGTTAACAAACCATAGACAGACCACTTTTAATTTTTCTATAACATCCGATAGTAAGACGTATTACATAGGGTTCAGTGAAAGTTTTTAAGCTAACTACAGACTGAAATAATCACCAAATAAATGGTAATGACTAAATTGTAAATCAAAGCGAGATTTGTTCAATACTATAGTGTGATGGTAGAAAGCGTGAGAACTTGGAGTCTCATATTTCTATGATAACCATAAATTCAAAATATCAGTTAAATAGAAAGTTCAACTGTCAGTCAAAAAGAGTGTAAGTTTATCACATGTAAGAATAAAGAAATACAAACAAACTGAATGTAATGCATGCTCTGACATGTTAGTTATAAGTTTTACATTGTAGAAATTATAAACGTAACAAAACACTAGTTTGAGTAACACGATGTAAAACAAAAAGATGTAAACGAAAGTGATTGTAAGTTCACAGAAAAAATAGGTATTCTATAATTGCACACTTTACTTTGAAGTTTCCTTTTTAACACGAAGTATGTATATTGGACCTTAAACTACTATTTTGGATTGATATGCAATATAATTTATAAGATGCATTAAAGTTTATCATCCATCGTCAAGAAGGGACAAGTTGTTTACACAAAATACTTAACATTCACTGACCGGATACTGTCAGCAACAGCGTTTTGTGGGAGAGAACAAACCAGCTTCCAGCTGAAGAGGAAATTAGGAAAAGACGTTGGAAGTGGATAGTACATACATTAAGGAAAACACAAAACTGCATTACAAGGAAAGCCCTAACTTGGAATGCTGAAGTGAAGCGGAAAAGAGGAAGGCCAAAGAACACATTACTGCCGGGAAATGGAAGCAGATATGAAAAGAATGAATAACAGCCGGAAAGAACTGGAAAGGATTGCCCAGGACAGAGTTGGATGAAGAATGCTGGTGAGCGGCCTACGCTCCTCCACGAGGGGTGACAGGCGTAATTAATTAAGTGAGTATTAAAGTTTATCAGTAAACCTTACTAAAATATTTCACACACTCTATATGTATTTCCATAAATCTGTAAATTATTTACAGAGATGATAAACTACCCGTTAATTAGATACAATATCAGTTCTGGGTTCGAATCCCGAGAGGCGGGATCATGAATGCGCACTACTGGGGAGTCCCACAATAGGACGAAACGGCCGTCCAGTGCTTCCAGGATTTCCATAATGTTCTAGCTTCAATTGACTCATGATCTCAACTAGTAGAATCTCATAGAATTCAAAATGATTAAACTGATATTGTATTTAATTAACGAGTCGCTAATCATCTCCGTAAATAATCTAAACTGACATTCCTTTCGTTTTTATAATGAAAGCAACAAGCATAATGAGTTGTAAAATTTAAAACAAAATTGCGATGATTTTGTAAATTACACGACAATAAGTATTATGAAAGATGTATATTGTATGCATTCTTGTGTTTGAGAATTATAAAGCTATTGATAAACTAATATCTGATAGAGTTGTGTAAATTTTGATTAAACTAATATTGCAGTAAACGAAGACTTGTTAGGGATAACCAAGCTGTTGATGCGTACGAAATTTCACAGTGTCTTCATAAAATATGGAAACTATACATTGAACACATTATTTGCACATCTTCCTTAAGTTTTTTTTTACACGCTTCAATATTCTTCCAACTCTCTTGTTATAAAAATTACTATCTGTTTACATTTCTGTTCTTTTTAATGCGATCTTCTTGATCTTCTGCTACCAAGCATTAAACTTCTGACTGGTGTTACATTCTACTCATTTATATAGACATGAGTAGTATACATCACAATATTATACATGATTTTATGATATTCACATTCTAATAATACTGTTTCTATTTATCAAGACAACTAATAGCTTTATACTAACTAGATATTTCTCAAGACGATACTTCAAAACCTTTAACCAAAGAAATTTTCAACTAAAACAGTTTAAAAAGACCCACTTTATACAATATAAATTTACTTCATAAAAGGGTTAGAAAACTACATTTTACATGCTTATTTTATCTCATACCTACTACAGAATTAGTTAACAGAAATACTGTTGTTATTTTCACTTAATCTGATTAATTAAAATCGATTAGGCAAGTTGACTGTATGTCTTAAACAAAACGTTTTTAATATAGCAAGAACTTAAAATTGAAGATCTTTCCATAACATTGTTTTTTTTCATTAAGCGTATTTCAGGAATCAGTTTTAGATTTCTTCCTTTCCTTTGATCTAAGCCGTGAGACTCGTGATTAAGTGTTCTGAAGGATTATGTGTAGCCCCTGTTTCAATACATGATCTTTGTTCCCTTTGACGTTCAAGTTCATCCCAGAATGTTTTCAGGGACTTGAAATCAAAATTAAACAAGAAAAAATATACACGTAATCACTGTCAGATAAAATAAATGGATAATATTGTCATAATTAGTGGAATGCACAATATTAATCAGGTAAAACAGTTGTTTAGCATAGGCATCATTTAGATCTAGTTACCATTAGCTGATGATTACTTTGTAAGCTGTTCAGCCATTACTGGATTTGAGTAATAGAATATATTTTTTCACTTACACAGTACTTCTGTATTGTGAATCTCATTTGTAATTTTAAATATTTGAGTTTCACTTATATTGAAGGATTGCAATACAGATTGTAATACAGGACGTTACGTAGTTTATAAAACAAATAGATGTTAATCACCTTCCTAAAAATAGTGGGTTTAGTCACGAATGACATGTAATACTTATCTGAAAATACAGCTTGTATCTACTGATTTTGCTCAATCCATTATTTCATTTTTCTTCAGTTGGCCTGTATTATTTTATATCTTATCATAGGACAAATTAGTTTGATACATTCCATTAGATAATACACTGAGAATCACTACACAAATAAACTATCATAAATAGAGTCTTGAGGTCGGAATGAAGTTCAACCCACATGTATTTGGTCAACTAAATAACAGTTTTATTTTATTTAAACACATATATATTGGTACAAAAAGGAACCAGATACATATGTGCCACACAAAATAATGAAAGTAGGAAGAAAAGGGATGAAAAGATAAGGCGGACTGAAATGTACTACCAGAAGACTCTTTCAGTTAAGAAAGTTAGAACCATTCTTTATGTAGAAAGTAAAAGAAGGTTGCAGCAGGATCGCCACTAGCTTCTATTCTGAGCCATATCTGATAACGTCTCTAGCCACTGTGTTGCACCATCTCTAGGACCCCAGCCAGGGAGTCGTGAAGGACCAACAGAAGCTAGCCCTTCTGCAGCTTTCTTTCATGCCGCGACACCATGTCATACACTGTATTCCTCTCCGCTTTCTCCAACCAGTCCCAGAGTCGGCAAATAATGCATGACGTGGAAGCCTCTGGGATGACATTCGTAAAACATGTCCAAGCCACCGAAGTCGGTGTTTCAAGATGGTGACACCAATTGAATTATCGTCTCTGCGCCCGAACACATGATGCCGAACCTCTGCATTACTAACATGGTGTTGCCACTGGATGTAAGCAATCCTTCGGAGACAATGATGATCGAACACAGAGACGTCTAACATCCTCAACTCGGAGAGGCCAGGTTTCACAAGCATAGAGCAAAACTGCTCTCACCGACGCGTTGTAGATCCGACCTTTTACAGCCAGACTAACATCACGAAGGCGCCAAAGATGGCCCAGACTGGCATAAGCCGCTCTGGCTTTCATTATACGGGCATCAATCTCATCACTCACGCCACCACCAGCACTTATATAGCTACCTAGATACACGAACTTCTCAACTACTTCCATCTGCTCACCATCCAGGGTGAGTACAGGATGACAATCCTGCCAGTCTTGTAGGAGTACTTTGCACTTGGAGGGTGCAAAGCACATGCCGTACCTGCGGACACTGATTGACAACTGATTAAGTGCAGATTGCATGCCTTGTGCATTATCGCACAGTAAGACAATATCATCCGCATACTCGAGGTCGAGAAGTCGTTCTCCAGGCAACATATCCACACCGCCATTACTTACATCCATCAGAGCTGTTTCCAGGATGTCGTCGATGGCAAAGTTGAAGAGGGATGGTGAGATCGGGCAACCCTGCCTAACCCCACTGCTCGAATGGAACAAGGGAGAAAGGTGGTTGTATGCCCTCACTCTGCCTGAGGTGTTCGTATACAGGGCCTTTAAGATGTTAATGAACTTCTCAGGCACACCCTTCTTCAATAGACAATCCCAGAGAACAGTCCTGTCCAACGAATCGAAGGCAGCCCTGATCTCAAGAAACACTACGATTGTTGGCCTGCGATAAGTATGACGGTGTTCTAACATTTGGCGGAGGGTGAAGATGTGATCAATGCATCCTCGACCAGAACGAAAACCAGCCTGCTCCTCGCGAGTCAATCGTTCTCGGGTTTTAAACAACCTACGAAGAATGACAGAAGCCAATAGTTTGGACGCAATCGGAAGTATACTTATCCCCCGATAGTTGTTACAGGAACAACGTGAACCCTTTTTAAAAATAGGAACGACTATTGACTCATTCCATGATGTTTGAACACTTTTTTCCTCCCAAACCTTTGCAAACAACGCAGTCAGTTCCTTAGCTAGAAAGTCACCACCATCTTTAAAAAGAGCCGGAGGTAAGTCATCTGGTCCCTGTGATTTGTAGCGCTTCAAGAGTTGGAGTTCCTTGCGTACTTCCGCCTCGTTTGGTGGATCAGTCGTGTCCACCAACCTGGTTAAAGCGCCGGACATTCGCTTTTCGTCCTCTCACTTTCGTAAACAGCACCCCCGCCACGAGAAGGCAGTGAGTAGGACTTCCCTGACAGAGGCTATATATTCGCGAGACCATGTGAGAGCATTTCGAGAGGGAGAGTGGATTCTCCCCACTCTCGGCCATACCAGGGTATTTGGGGGCCTAAATAACAGTAGAAAAGAATTATTGATGGAATCAACATTTGTCTAACGTATTTTAGGTATTGTAAGTAGTCTTTTCAATTTCAGAATTTACATCATAGACTGATCTTGACAACGACTAAAAACCATGAAACACTGAAGAGCAGTTTCATTACAGTATCGGACTCCCAAGGAGCTTACACACACAAACTTACCTCAGAATAAATTCAAGACCTTCAAGGCTTTCTGATTTCAATGGCTGTCTAACAAAAAATCATTTGTCAAACTTAAGTTTACTGATTATAAATATATTGCAGTTTTTATTTTCAGTAAGTTGAAAGCTTTTGTCAACGAATTTTGAAGAAGTAAAATAGGACATAGAACACTGTATATTGAAACTATCATATGATAAAATGTCATTATTATTATTAGTGGCTTTATTTAATATCATCTTTTCGATGAAATATAGAATACTCATCACAAAGTATTTCAACAAGTTTTCTTTTCCTATTCCTTGATTGATCGTTACGATAAATATTGAGTAGTCGCCAGTTAGATGTTAGCAGTTCAGGAATCGACAGCTGAATAGTGTATATTCCTATCGATGCATATTCCCAACAACCATGATCTCTCTGATTGGGTTATTATGTAACTTGTACAGAGAAATGTCGTAAACGTTTCACAAACGAATCTTAAGAGATTATGAGACTAATAGGCATAATGATGTGTTAAAACAAACAAGAAAACAGATAACTTGTCGAAACATTCAAATGGAAGGAAAAGTTTAATAAATTTTCACTGTACAATAAACTAATGTATTGCTAGAAAGCAAATGATTTATTTTTTTAAATTTCTTACACCTAAATAATACTTTATCATATCTGAAAAAACATTTCTCGTTTATAAATAGAGTCAAACTTTGTTGACATTTTGATTTGTTCATTAAATAATTTCATATTGTACGATATGTCGTACGTCTGAATTAGTTGACATCGGTAACACATATGTATTCTAAAAAGACTTTCAATCATAGATATTTTTTCGGGTAGAAAGTACATTACTGCGTCGAGTTGAACGATCGTTATGTAAAAAAATGCTGCCGATAAATTTCTTGTAAACATAACACATTACTTGCAGTCAAAGTTGTTATTAAAACTATCGATTTTTAGTCAGATACCTGAAAATATTTCTAGTTATATCTGATAATTTTTAACTCATACTAATATCAGAAGGGGGTTTTGTTGAGATTTTAGTAATTTCATATAGTTGATATCATGATTCAATTGAAGCTAGACCACCATGGAAAAACTGGAAGCACTGGACGACTGTTTCAACCTATTGTGGAACTCCCCAGCAGTTCGCATCCACGATCCTGTCTCGCGAAATCCAAAACAAGGACCTGTCAGTCTCGCGCTTGAACGCTTTAACTCTAGACCAATGAGCCGGCATCCAACGCTGTTAATGTCTAACTTTCACCAATCCACGTAATTGAGCAACCATTCATCAATGTCTTCAGTGAGTTGATATCTCACAACAAACCTGGTTGAACTCCACTGGTCACTGCTTCTCACTAGAACTCCAGGAAATATCTCATGGAGCCAGTTACTAGTAAGCATATGATAGGTCCTGTATACGAATTTCTCCAGACAGGATCGTGCATGAGCACTGCTGAAAAGTCCCACAATAGGACGAAAAAGCCATCCAGTGCTTCCAGATTTTTCATGGTTGTCTAGCTTCAATTGACTCATGATCTCATACCAGTATGTTGAATAACAATATATATCTTATAAGATATTATATACTTTAAATTTGATCATTTCATGCTGCTCAAAAATGAAATAATCAATAGTAATAAACGTGTTTCGTAGTTTAATTGTAGTTACCATAGCAAATAGTCTTTTTTTAAATATTAGAATAATTCAAATGATATTGTTCACTATAAAAAATATCAGTCATAAAATTACTTACTTCATTCTCCTTATTTTTAACACCTTTATTTACATATTTTCTGAATTTTTTTGACTGATCACTCTTTGCATATATTTGTCTTTCTTCTTTTTGTTTACTCAAATAATCAAGCATTTGTTGCAGTGATGGATCATTTTTGTATATTTCTTCCTTGGTAACTTTGCAGTTATTGATGAGAGTATTTCTAAATTTTAAAAAAAACAATAAGAATTAAATAAATATGCTTTTCTTCTCGGCCACTTTTACTTTTGTTGGCAATAATACTTTATACAGAGGTGAAGTCCAACTAAGTCCAACTCAGTGGTTTTGAGGTTGAGCGCTCGCGTGTGAGATTATTGATGCGCTTTCCTGAGTAGTCCCACACTTCAACGAAACATCAGTCTAGTGCTTCCAGGATTTCTATGTTGCTCTAGCTTAGATAGACACATGACTTCAATTATTAAATTCCATCTGTTCGATTAGATACAGACCATAATGTCAAGTAACTGGACGATAAGGTAAATAACGACAAACATTTGATGATGGAAGACGATGAGTGGAAAAAACGACTTCGTATAGGTCTTTTTCCATCGCTCAACAAAATGGAAAACACTTAATCGATGTTCGCCGAAAAACTAATGAACGCAAATGTTGTATTTCTTAAGTAGGAATAAAATTAACTTATGTATTTTGTCTGGACAATCATCATTTAGTTAAGCTTATGCTTTCAATTAAACGATATCACAGACGTGCATATAAACACAAGGATTTGTTATCGATGAGATGAAGTTACATAATGTCAAATCGTTAATTTTTCTAGGTCGGATACAATACTTCAGCAGCATATATCACTCTAGTTACCATTATTTTCTTATATCAGGACAAGTAAAATGTTAATCTCTACATAGAAGTTTGGTAATTATACAGACCCGAAGGACCGTTTTGGTTAAAAGTAGAGATGAGGGAGTGTCAATTATAAACATCAAAACCGATCCACCATCTAGAGGAGAAAATTCGACGTAGGTTACAAACAAGAACGTTTCCATTTGAACAAGGTGAGACTTACTCATTTTGCATAAGAACTATATAACTAATAACATTTTCCCTCATTTTAATTAGAACAAGACATAACAACAAATAATTATGTTTTCAGTAAGACCCTCCTACATAGTCTTTCATCTGATATACACTAACATTCATATGCATGTACCCAAAATACTAAACTAATTAAGAGGATATCAAGTCATTTGTAACAAGATAATAATACCACTAATAATAAGAAATGTAAATTGATATTCTGATAACAGGTGTCCTCAATGCCGTACTAACTGTAGTATAGGTCGTAGTGCTAAAGCTCACAGCTAGATATATTTATCTACGCAATTACCTCCTCTGTAACTTTTAAACATACTGAAGTGAACGAGAACACGACTGGGGACAATCGAATGTATTTTGGCATAACATTACAGAATATCTGATTAAAATATGAGAAACATATAGTGAAGAGTTAATTTGCAAAGTAACAATCAATTGTCTCAATTTAATTGTTTCTTCTTCAAATATCCGTCCATAGTCTCCGATTATAATTGTTCATACAATTTCGTACCATTTGCTTGCCGTTCCCGTTCTCTCCCTATCGATCTTCTACTGAAATACATTCAACGCCCGACCATCGTAATATACTAGTTATGTGGATATCAGTAACCCATACCACAATACTACTGGAACAGAGTCACCATATTTAGTCATTATATTTGCAATAATTTTACACGGACTTTAATAACTTAGTTTCATTTTCTTAGAAAAGTTTTTTTTTCTTTTTCGATTAGACAGACGACATAAGTAAGGGACACATTTGGTCAGGAACATCATGCTTGAAATAAACGGAATTTCAATTTTCAAAAGGAAGAATAATTCGGACAATCAGATGTTTTTTCCAAGTAGACAAAATTCTGTTCGTCAAAATAAGTAACAAATAATTCTATGTCACTGAATCTGTCTGCCGAACAATTTCGACCTTCTTAAATCAATTAACAATAAATAATTCTTTTCCAAAAAACCCCAGTTATTTAGTTGTTACAATGTACGCCTATTTCATTTGGATTCAAATAAAAGATTTTGGAAATATTTAGAAAATGTTTAACAGTCAGTTAGTAACGTAAGATGTCACAATGTACTTCAGCACGACTTGCTCCATTACGTTAGTAAAGTGTGATGGAATTAACAAGATGAATACCAAGATAGTAGTAACAGTAGTATCGGTGGTTTTGGACTCAACCTCAGTTAAACAGATCTCAGTTATGTACTAAAGACAATTAGGCTATTTGTTGAGAATTCGGTGTATAAATTTTATAACAGTTTTAAGAAAACAATACGAACTGATAAATACATACCACATTTTAACTTTGAGTTCACAATAAATTTAATAGGTTATGACAACTATTATATGATATCGTAGTGTCAGCTATCAATGATCTAGATTGTGCGTAAAGTCATAAACTAATTATCTAGTGTATAAAAGGTCATACTTTAGTAAGTACATAGAGGGTAAAATAATGAATACAATAGACAATGTAATGTAAAGCATATGTATCTGTTAAAAATGGTGAACAGAGGAAGTATTTAGAAATCAAACAATTAATAAAGTATTTTGATACTTTTCAGTATTATAAGCAAATATGAATAGTGGCTAGCAGTGGAATCTAGAACGTGCATTTCGTCCTATTTGGTACTCATCAGCTGGATGTACCTGCACCTCAGAGCTGAAGTTCACTCTGGGACTCGAGCCCAGTACCGTTCAATTCAAACGCCATCACATTATCCACTTAGCTACTGGGTCCTGATAGCCACTTGCTTGTGCAATGAGGTCAAGTTTAACTCCACTTAGTATTGTTTGTTTGAATCTTCCCATTGGTGTTTAGGATTGTAATTGATCAGTCTTTTTTTAGTACTGATTACACAATTACTTTAGTTATCATCTTTCAGTATATCAAAACACGTAGTACAAAATAAAGCTCTGTCATTCAGACCCGATCATACTTTCTAAAAGTATTTCTCAATCATTGTTACAAAATCGTCAAAACCGATTGATCTGTTCAATCTTTGATGTTCAGATTCACTCAAATATTGATTTAAGATTGATGTTAACCGCGCTTCTTAGATTTAACTGATAGTCTTAAGTCACACGACATTAACAAACGTCACTCTTGTGAAAATAGACTAAACTTGAAAACATCACTGTAAATTGTATCCAATCTTATTAAGAAATACACGAGGACTAATAAATGGTCTTTAAACGGCTGACGTTTTACACCATAAATGTTTTTCTTACTTATTCATGTTGAATTTTTTAAAGCTTCTATGGATGGTTTTATTTCAAATCATGAACACAAATAATTAGTAGAGTAAAATGACACAAAGGTAATTCATGGATTACACTTAAATACAGAACTAAGTCAAAATGTCTAACAGAACTTAAAGCATTATTTAAATAGGAAAAGAAAAATTAAAACCATATTTAAGTAGTATATTGATTATACTCATCATATTTTACTACTGTAAGTAAACAATTGAACAAAAGATTTAAGAGTTTGTGAACAAAATTTTCTAAAGAAATAACATAGGTGGATAGTCATTTATTTAACTGAGATGAAAAACACATAAGATCTTAAAAGGAGTTCGTAACATTTCGTGGATTTTAGTTCACTGTCTTCAATTGCGTCACACGCCCAAGACCAAAATTCAGTTATCTTATATGATATTTTGGTACAGAACCTTAAAAACGCTTCAAAGTGTATAACACAGTTTAAACTATTTTAAATGATGTAGAGGCTTGAAATAATGTAAATCGTAATTCAAACTAGTCGGAATGAAATCAAATTTAGTTTAAAAAGAATTCAAGACGTCAATCGGTCCAACGTTATCACCCTGGAAACTAACAAAAATGTAATATTTATATATTTAAGCAAAACAAAAAAACCTTATTACTCAAATTCAAATGTTATATAGAAACATATCTACTCTTATCATAGATTCACCTGTTTCAAAAAATCAATGTTGAATGAAATAACCCTCAGTAATCTAATAGCACCTTAAAGATATGGTTTCAAAGTCAATTTTATTTAATTAATTCATGCTGTTATGTAAATTACATGATACTATAATATATGGGCTAGTTTTTATAAAGATTTGTCTTCAACGTTTGAAAACGCCCGACCTTTTACAATAGATTCTGAATAATGCGAGTAAGCATTGGCTAAAGTATATCACCATGTATGTCCACCACTGTACTGACTTACATATGTCACTAAACGTTTTAGAAACTGATCTTATAGAAATTTTATCAGAAGGAGGTTTTGTGAAGATTTTAGTGATTATATAGTTGAAATCATGAGTCGATTGAAGCTAGACCAACATGGAAAACCCGGAAACACAGGACGACCGTTTCAACCTATTGTGGAACTCCTCAGCATTTCGCATCTACCATCCCATCCCGTAAGATTAGAAACCAGGACATATCAGTTTCGCGCACGAGCGCTTAAACTCTAGACCACTGAGCCGGCATCCAACGGTGTCAATGTCCAACTTCAACCAATTCACGAAATTGAGCGACGCAGTTACTATCTCACAAAAGATTTGATTGAAATCTACTAGTCACTGCTTCACACTAGAACTCTAGGAAATACGTCTTAGAGCCAGTCACAAGTGAGCATATGTTTACCGGTAAGTTTTTGATGGAGTTTTGTTCTCTGAGCTGGATTGTTTGGTCGTGGAGCTTTCAACGTCCTTATGTACGACATCATCAGCACAAACTTCGGGGAGACCGGTAAGTCCTAGGCTCAAATCTCGCGAGACGGGATCGTGAATGCGAACTGCTAAGGAGTCCTGAATAGGGACGAAACGGCCGTCCAGTGCTTCTATGTTTTTCATGGTTGTGTAAGTTCATGATTTCAACTATAAAATTATAAAAATTTTGCTTTAAATTTTATTCAATAGATTTATCAATAGTGTATTAGACTAATTGGTTCTCCTTATTCATTAAATATATTGAAATCTTCGATAAGGATTAATTATGAATATTTCTTTCTTAATCCATAATCAATCTCGAATGTTTTTTTTAAACGTCATGAAAAACTCATATTTATCGCTCAAAAATATCGCTTAACATATGAGATTGTTAATCTAAAATCAATCTAACCATTAAGTATCCATCAGTCAGTTATCAGGTAATACTTGATGGATGTATAATGAATAGATTTGATGATAATTAAGGTTGATAATACAAACACAAAGTTATTATTACCTAACTGATTATCAATCTGAAGATTCTTTTAATTAAAAAAGGAGTTATAATTATCTAACTGGTTTTAAAAATAGTTTCTTTTTTCACTTTATACAAGAATCCAACTGAAACATGATTAAGATTCAGTTAATTATTATCAACTGTACCATCTGAATCTCACGATTTATTTTTATTACAGAAACGAATTATCTGTTTAGTCAGTAGAACTTCCTTCTACTTCACACTTAGAAATTTAGATTTGGCGCCAATATAATTTTTTTTCAAATAAAACTCCTAATATCGGATGCAGATGTAAAGGCGAGGATTGGCAAAGGAAGGACAGCATTTCTACAATTGAAGAACAAATGGAACTCAAAACAACTCTCAACTAATTTCAAAGTCAGAATCTTCAATACGAACGCCAAGACAGTTCTACTGTACGGAGCTGAAACGTGGAGAACTACTACGACCATCATCAGAAAGGTACAAGTATTTGTGAGCAGTTGTCTACGCAAAATACTCAACATCCACTGGCCGGATACTATCAGCAACAGCATTTTATGGGAGAGGACAAACCAGCTTCCAGCTGAAGAGGAAATTAGGAAAAGACGTTGTAAGTGGATCGGACATATATTAAGGAAATCATCAATCTACATTACAAGGCAATCCTTAACTTGGAATCCGGAAGGTAAGCGGAAAAGAGGAAGGCCAAAGAACACATTACTGCCGGGAAATCGAAGCAAATATGAAAAGGATGAATAACAGCTGGAAAGAACGGGAAAGGATTGCCCAGGACAAAGTTGGATGGAGAATGCTGGTGAGCGGCCTATGCTCCTCGACGAGGGGTAACGGGCGTAAGTAATACCTTATTCATTTTTGACTGTCTACCTCATTCATGATATTGTGACTTGAGAGAGAATTATTGGACAACAAAGTTTTTTATAATAAGTGTTGCACAAATGAGAAAATCTTTTCTACGGATTCATTTTTCTACATTTTTAAACATGAAATTTAACTCTAGATTAACTCTAGTTTTTTCACTGTTATTGTTTTCAACAATTTTCCTTTGTGAATTAAAATTCTTCCAGTGAACAATTTATGCCTAATTCTTCCAATTATTATCTCTTTTTGTAATTGAATAGTTCACGTTTAGTGTGATCAAAATAATATAACTGCCTTTATTTTTCAGGAGAATTGTCAAAATCACGAGTTATCAGCTACCCTCAGATAGGATCATAGGAAATTGTAAAAACCACTTTTTGGATTAGACATTTAGGTCTTAGACTGAATTGCGGTTCGTTAAGTGAATCTTCCTCTGTAGATTGACTCTTCAAGCGGTATTGTTGCTGACTTATATACCATGACTATTTAAAAAAAGATACTTATAAATAATATTTCTCTCCTTACACATAATTTCACGAGCTTAGTCTATCATATTTCTATCTGCTATATTACACAAATCTTTCTTTAATGTAGGTATAATAATACTATAATTTGAATTAAAAAGACACCCGAATATTTTGGTACGGCCGAGTGTAGAAAGAGTCAGCTCTCCCTCTCGAAATGCTCTCATATCGCCTTGTGCATACAAGCACTACCAGAGAAGTCCCATTCACTGCCTTCTCGCGGCATTACTGTTGTTTACAAAACTGAGAGGACAAAACGTAAATATCATGTGCTCTAACCGGGTTAATAGATACGTAGGATCCAATTAAGGGAGTTGAAAAACCACAATTCCAAACCGATGGTTCACATGACGTTCAGGATCCTGAAGGGACAAATGGCGTACGAACCTGTTGTTGGTCACCGGTTGCCATGGAAATGCATACCCTTACGTTGCTAAGTTAAACGACAACATATGAATATAAATACTTGACTGTTTTAGATTTGATCGATTTATTTATAACTTTAATACCGTTTTTGTTTTCTTTTTTTTTGTTTTTGAAAACTACAATTTTTCACACACAAAATTAACATAAATCGTCGAGTTCATTTAGACAAACTACTATAATATCAAAATTATTTATTGAAATAAACAATATAAGAAGTTCCCATTAAGAATAACGATGACAATTAAAATGATGATAATAATAATAATAATAGTAATGACGATAATGCGATATTCTATATAATCATTACAGCTTGTTACAGTTAAAAGTGTATACGTATACATGTAAAGGATATAAGAATAATTCACCTATCATAAGATTAAATGAATATTTATTGTTTACCTTAACGTATACTTTCAATTTATAACACTAAAAACTACAAATGAAATCCTTTCCCATCAATGAAATGAAACAGGAACTATTGAGTATGCTTATTAACTCCCACTCATTATATATAATTATAATAAAATATTATTAAGTGTAAAACTTAATCTTCTCAAAAACCATTCTGTGTTTAGATTATATATTTTACTAATCAAATCCTAAATAATGGGATAACTGATGTTATTGTCATACAGAATGAATCTGTTACAATATATCTTTAGAGTGAAGAAACTTTATCGATTGGTTTATAGTTGTTATTGTCCGCGTGACTATCGTAACCGATGGTTGGAGACTCTGGGTGACATGACTCAGAATTGATCACAATGACGTAGGTGTATACACTCTTTATCTTCCCTTAAACATTGAAATTAAAACTGCTTTATATCTGTCTTTTTTCCTGTACTATATCCTTATATACAGCCTACAACTAAATTAACTACTTCTATGAATTCGGTGTTCATCTTGATGTGCTAATGAGGTATGGCAACTTGGACCGATGCATATGTGTGCCTGGTCTTAAGTTTTAGCTGACTAACTGACTGAGTTGTTATTTAGATATGACACAACAAAATTTTGCCAACATCTTATATATTAATATACATTTACAGTTCCATTAAACCAAAAAAGAACAGATAATCTAGTAAATGTCTTTATAATTCTTGATTATTTCTATAATCCTATGATCATACTTTGACTGATAGAGTCAAACTTTGATATTGAGTTTGAAAGAATTATCAGAAAAAAATTCACATAGTATCACTTGTTTGAATCTTCCCATTGATGTTTAGGACTGCAATTGGACCTTCGGTTTTGCTCTTAACCTCTAGACCACTGAGTTGGAATCAAATGGTATTAATGTCTAACTTCAATCGATCCATGATTGATCATCCATTGTCTGAGTTAGATAACTGTCTCACACCCGACACGGATTGGATTCCACTGGTCACAACTTTTCATTAGAACTCCACGAAATCTATTTTGAAGCTAGTCACTAGTGAGCACATGATTATTATCAAAATGCGGCTTTGTGGAGATTGTACTAGAGGTTAAGTGTCCGCGCGAGAGACCGAAGGTCTTGAGTTCAAGTCCCGCGTGCGAGGTTGTTAATGCGCACTGCTAAGGAGTTCCATACTGGGACGAAATGGCCTTCCAGTGATTACAGATTTACAATAGTGGTCAAACTTAGATCGACCCGTGAATTTGCTTGTGGAAATATTACAATCTACACAAATCCCCGAACTGATATCATTCTTAAACTCATTTTTGTTTGATAGTAAAATCTGACAGATCTTCATTATTCTTTAGGAAAATTGGATATTGATGGTTTGAAAGCTGAATCCATCTACATATCAACTAACACTTCACAATCAGCTCTCTTTATTTTATTTGTTAACATTAAACACATAGTAGCCTAATGGTGGATGCCCCATACACTTACATTCTTTTATCGTTACCTTTATCATATAGTAAAAATAGGTAGAAAATGATATATAAGGACTCAAGATCTCATATTAAAGGTGATATCTAATAAAACTGTTTAGTGATCAATGAGTTACTGGTTTCACGAATTATCATATTGCGCAATCATTTCGTAATTACCTGAGATGGTTAGATATTAGTTCAGAGTCTTCTATTTTTAAGAATAGAGGTTTATTACAGGTAGTGAATATTTCCAGCTTATTTTACCCTATATACCTGTACTTTTTTAAAAAAATTCGGATAGAGGATCTCCATCAATAATGTTCTGACAAAGATCGGTTATCCGAGAAGTATTTTAAAAAGTGCATGTATGCGGAAAAAATAACTTGGGAATAGTTTAAAGTCTATTTATTTCAGTAAGATGAGATAATACACATGAAATAATGATAGAACTAATGTAACGTTTGAATATTTAGTATAACACTAGCCGACGTCAGCTGAAGAACACTGTAAACTAAAGAGGACTTTACAGTTCTATCATCATATATGATGTTTATGAAATTAATCATATCAAATTTAGGCGGATACTCATTAATAGATTAGAATATGGATGGAATCAATTTGAAACAGTGGACCTACCTAATTCCAACTAATTGAACCAAATTATTGTTTTCAATACTAAGCATGAATATTCTGTCCAGTATCATCAGTATTTACTACCAAGTTATATTGAATGAAGAGAAAAGTTCTCTTAAATCCACCTTGATATCTAGTGGCTTTTCAGTCAACATTAGTCAAGTAAACCGATGTCACATATTAGAACCCCATTTCTAAAGGAAAGTGGTTGACAAAACTCAGTTGTTTTTATTTATAAAAAAAAATTAAAATAATCGAGAATTTTTCAACTTACTCTCCATTGTTTACCATTTTTCTTGCTGCAGCTATAGTTTTTACACTTCTATGCTTGCCAATTCGAGTTAATAACTCTAATAAAACTTTTGTTTTCTGTTCTTTATCATTTATTATTGCATCTCTTTTCTCTTCTAATTCACGTTGTTTATTAATTTTCAATTGATTAAGGCGTTCCCTTAACTCAACTATGGACATTTCATTTAATAGACCATGTCCAGGTGTATTGGTTAAATCAATCTAAAACATAAATTATTAAATATTCAATTTTTTTTGATTTTACGAAACTGATAATTAATGAGACTGGGACCAATTCTATTTTGTAAACAGTAAATTAATTTTTCATAATCTGAATTTTGATTGATAACATCAGTTTAAATGTTTACCGAAGTTTGGGTGAACGATTTTAAAATACATAACAGTATTGAAATTTTTAAAAATACAACGTCAATATCTGTATGAACGGAAAAAATCTCCAAAATGATCGATTTTAAGATTGCCTAAACACTTAATTAGATGATCTCGGAAGATGTCATGATTTCATTTCTATAGCTATTAAACGAAGGAACCATCAACTCAATGGTCCAAAGGTATTTTGTTCGACTTGATACTTGAAGTCCCTGAGTTCTATCCAATGTAAAGGCTTAAAATGATCCCCAGAATTCCCTAAACAGATTACAATAGCTCTGCTTCAGTTTTGATAGTTGTCTAACGTATCTTGGTCCGAGATGTAAAGTACAATCTAGTTGTCAAAAAGTTTTAAACTACTGTTTCAAAATATTTGAGTGGTTTTTGTCACATATTGATAGTAACTGAACAACTATTAAAAACCAGAGTGAATTGGACACTGATTCGTTCTAGTATGAGGCTTTCCAAATGAGCACACTCAGAATCCCACTTCACTTGTGCTTAGAACCTTCAGACCTTCAATGACTGTCTTTGATGGAGACCACCGAATCTAAACCCATTGTTTCATATTTCCAACTTTGACCTATTCTTCGAATGCTGTTTATACGTAACTGCCTTACTTCTGATAAGGTCAAGTGAAACCAATGACGACTTCCGAAACTTTTTTTACGCAGATATTATACTGACTGACTTTAGCATCCAAAGAATTTTAAAGCACTCATTATTATTTTGAGCCAAGTTGAAATTCATTCCAGGTCACAATACGGTGTCCACTACCAACTCAACAATTAACAAGCTTCAATTTCGTCAGACGATTTATACACATAACAAATAATTTTAATTTGAAACTATTTTACCCTGTTTTGCTTTTTGTTTTCATTTACTGACAAAATGGAAATATCTGTTCATTTTATTTTGCTTTTAGTTAGTTTAAACATGGGTAAATGTATAGATCTAACAAATTTCAGGTTGCTTTGCAGTATTTATTATCTTCACGTTTACTCAATATTACATTGGTTAACAAAGAACTAATTGAAAGATGGTTCGTGTAAAATAAGCCGAAACTTGTCTCTGAAATGTGTAAACACTCCGATTGATATTATAACTCGAAAATGAACAAATTTTTCACTGATTAGTGTAAATGGATGACACAAATATTTTATTTCATTTTAGAAACTTTCACTAGTAGTACCTTTATGTAGAGTTTGTTATTTCATCAGAATTTCTTTGTTTTAATTTAGAATTTAAAATCTGATTAGGTTAAAGTTGTATCTAAGAGAACCAAATTCAACTACAACTCCTTTAGCTAGTGTTCTAAACGCAAAACAAGATTACAAACCATGTGTTTGTCCCTTTAACCATGATGGAAAGTCAAGGTTATATCAGTGCATAAAGGTTTTACACCAACTGCATTCATCAACAATAGTTAAGTTTATACTACTGTATGAGAAATAAAAGGGTTATTTTAGTAGATTAGATGACATTTTATGTATAAGAGTATGATATAGCAATTTCAAATATTTAATGGCAAGTTTTTAACTTCAAGCCATAAATATTGTGATCATTTTTGCCATTATTTTCATGTTACGACTAAATATTTGTTCTACATTTGTCCCACGTTTTACTACCCTGAAATATCTTATTGTCATTAATGACACGATTTATCATCAGTGAACTAACCCTTCGTTTTAATATCTCCCTATTTATCTGTCTACTGTATATATATATGACACATTTTGGTGTTAATTCATTTAGTCTACCACAAGAAATTGGTTTGATTCATACCTCCTCCTCTGTCTGTCAGGTAAATTGTTTTTTTATATTGTTTCTACTGATAATTATATGACCGATATTACTGATTTAAAATCCATCCTCATACACATGCTTTTTATTTGACACCTACTACTATGTACTTATTATTATTGTCATTATCACCATCACCAACATCATTTACTCAGTTTAAATTAGGAATGAATTGTGTTAAGCCTAAACTTCTGCTCACATTTAAAAATATTCAGATTGTTTATCACACTACTGAAATAAGTTAAAAGTAGAATAATCTGGTTGCGAATATCACAGAATTATCTGAACGGAGCCAAGGTAAATTGATGAAGGGCAAATAGGGATTTAATTATTGAGTGCATAACAGTTATTTAACACCTAGTGGCTAAAAAAAAGTAAGCTAGTGAAATCATTGCTCTTTAGACAAAATTTATCTTGTAGCCTAATAACACATTTTCAATTAATATGATATTCTATTTGCTGATTTTACTAGCACGAACCGGATAAGACAGCAAATTAAATTCCCCAGTGATTTGATCTTATGTCGTTAATATTTAAGTGTGATTACGAAACATCTGCAACATTATACAGATTTAGTTATTTGCTAAACCAGAAACCGATTCACCAAGTATAGCTAAGTCTTTTACACTTGAACCCATAGCGTTTAATAGTTAGTCCTTCTTATATGTGATATAAGTGAAAGCACGTTTTGAGAACCTACCTCAATGTTGTGGACATAAATAACATCGACAGATGATAGAAATGACAAAAAAATATTTTCTACTAACTTGTCCATAGCTTTATCGCAGTAACTTCTGATAAACATGAACATCTTGGTATAAACGGGCTCCTTCCCTCAGAAAACTTACTCAGTGTCAAAGATGATGAAAACTGTTTGCAGAACGTTCTGGACCTTATTTTTTTATTTGGTGTATGGCATTAGAGAGCTATTCCAACAATGAAATGTGTATCTCCCTTCACTTTTTCCTATAGTCGAAAAGAATTAAAGAAAACTTAAAACTTCTACCTGGTCTAGGTTTCTTTCAATTACATTTCCATAAATCGATTCATCATTTACCTCAGTATTCAAGGTGAATCTTTTTGACAAGTTAAAGAGAAGCGTAACAAAGATATTATCAAATGTTTTGAAACGCTGTTTATAGATCTACCTAAGAACCTCAATGAAATGAAACTGCCATCGTCTAGTTACAGCTAGTTACAGATCCGTTAGGTTATTTAAGAGGACTAATGCTAGTATCCTAAAATGTATAAACAATATCACATAATACTTTAAACTCACCTATATTAAACTCACTTGTTTTATATTTCGTGATTTCGTCATTATGGCCGATAATTCTTCCGCTTGAATCTGCCTTATCAATTCTTTTTTCATTCTCTTCTCCTCCTGAGCTTTTATTACAGCTTCGTCTAACAGTTGTTTACTTTCCTTGAGTATTTCACTGGCTGAAAATTAATTGATTCAAAATCACTTTTAGAAATAATACAAACCTTATGAAGTATAATGGCATCGTATATAGATTCCTAGTAAAGGTTTTATACTAGTAAAATCAACTTGAAGGATAATATTGTTAAGGTTGATTAATTTGCTTAAAATTTATTGGTGTGAGAACATATGATCTGAAAGATATTGATTAATTTCAATCTTGGGAGATAAAATCAAGTGGAGTTGTTTCTTTAATGAGAGTTGTGGTCCATAAGGTTGTACATTCATAGAATTAGGTACTGTTGATCAAATGTGTATGACGAAGAAAATTAAACTATTCTGAACTGTTTAAAACTTAATTCCCACGAACTATAAATGTTATAACATATATCCAAACTCATTCTATTCTTGTCAAACTTCTTAAATTATAGATCAGAAGGAGTTTTGTGGAGATTTCAGTATTTTTATAGTTGAAATCATAAGTCAAATGAAGCTAGACCACCATGGAAAACCTGGAAGCACTGGGCGGCCGTTTCGTCCTATCATGGGACTCCTCGCCTCGAGAGATTCGAACTCAGGACCTACCAGTCTCGCGCCAGAGCACTCAACCGACAGACCATTGAGCCGGCATCCAACGGTGTTAATGTCCAACTTCAACCAATCTATGAAATCTGAGCAACTGTTCACCAATTATCTTCAGTGAGTTGATATCTCTACAACAGACTTGGTTGAACACCACTGGTCACTGCTTCCCACTAGAACTCCAGGAAATATCTCTAGTGAGCATATGATTATAGATCGGAAGGGGTTTTGTGGAGATTTCAGTATTTTCATAGTTGAAATCAAGGGTCGATTGAAGCAAGACCACGAAAAGGCCGCCCAGTGCTTCCAGTTTTTCCATGGTGGTCTACTTTCATTTGACTCATGATTTCAACTATGGAAATACTGAAATCTTCACAAAACCCCTTCTGATCTATAATTTAAGAAGTTTGACAAGAAGTAGACACATGACGTGAATAAATAATGTTAATAATCTAAACCACTGGCTTCTCTAACAAAAGTCTCCACATTCATTATCTGTAAGAATATCATAACAACTATCAAATCAACCTGCCATTAACACTTTTAAAATATCATAAACTATTATTCATTTACAGTTATCAACATTAATGTTGAACCTAATAGTTCCTACTCATTTGAGTTTCACAAAAGCCTAATTATTTTATTCATACTATCATTCATTTATTAAGTGGGATAACTTCACAAAATCTTCGTAAAATTCGAAGATGCCTTCTATCATTAACTAATGTAAGTTAACAAAGCATTGAACATTATTGGGCATCAGACAATTCTCTAAGGTAAATCATAAAGTAATTAGAAATATACAATATAAATAAACCTGATTTTTTCTTTTCTTCCATCAATTTCTTCTTTGCGATTTTTGCATTTTCATGTGAACTAGCAACTTCTTTGGCTACTTTATTCACTTTATCCTGTTGTAATTTCTTTTCATTTAAAAATTCCAACAGTTTAGCACGCTTTTCATTTCTAAGTTTATTAGCCGCAATTTTACGTTTACAGCAAAGATCAAATTTAGCTGTTGATGATGCTTCATGACTTATCATTACATTTAAACGATTACGTTCCATTTGTTTCAATTGATTTAATTTAATTTTCATCTCCTCTTCTTGTTTCCAAGAATTATAGGCAGCATTTGTAAACGCTCCAGATTCTAATTCACAAAGTCTACAGAAAGTTGTGTTTTTTTTTCAAAAAATAAATTTATCTTGTTTACTTAATCTTGATTTGACTACCCAAGCAAAATATAATTTTCAGCATTATCTGTTTTTAACTGAATGATGCAACAACTTAGTGATTTTGATGGAGTTTTGTTCTCTGAGCTGGGTGGTTTGGTCGTGCAGATTTCATCGTCCTTCTGAGAGACATCATCAGCACAAACGTCGGGTAGAAGTTTGAGCTGATAATGTCGTTCAGAAGGACGATGAAATCTCCACGACCAAACCACCCAGCTCAGAGAACAAAACTCCATTAAAATCACCCACCTGAGCTACAAATCTTCACCACCATCTCAACAATTTAGTGAGAAATTAAAATATCAATATTAATTTTGCTTCATAAGTCAAAATTCTCAGTAAAATTTTTCAATGATTTGTATTTTCTCCAAAATCTGCGATGTAAATAGTCTTATAAGTAAGAAAATCATAAGCAGTTCAATTTACAGAAAGTTTTGGCTATTTAATAATAAATTAATGAATGAAGATCGAAAAATTACAAAATCAGAGTTATTTGAATTGACAGCTAGGGGAGATATAAAACTTACTAACTTCTGACATAACTACCTAGTAAAACATTAAACTATTTCCTGATATTTGTTCACTTAGTTCTTGAAATTAGTGAATACTAACTTGAAACTGAATAAAAAATATCAAGAAAAACAGGTAATAAGGTCCTGGACAGTCGTTACCGATGTCTATGAAACTGTTCTTTAGAACATACCTATCACACGTTACATCTTGACTTTAAGGATCTCGGGTGACCTAAAGTGCTTAGAAATGAGATTAGTTACCTAAAAATAATCCGCTTTTTTACATTACTATCTTTACTATATGGTTATCTGTAGCTGAAGTAGCCAAGTACTAAAGTATATGAATAATGCGATGAATAACACAAGTGTGAGTGTAAATTAAAGTATTTGGTTAGATCATTTTTTTCTGATTGTCAGTAAAACTTGAAGTTCAATTAACAGTCTACTTCTACCTACTTACAATGACAAAATCCTTATCAAACAAAACCAATTTGCGTAAAGCTTATCACACTACTGACTATTTCAAATAACTCTGTCCATATACGAAAATCAAATAAATCTCACTTTTGTCTTTGTTCCCTCTCTCTATCTGAATACAATTTCCACTCACGTAATATGCTAACAGCATTTGTATTAACAACTGCGGTTTTGTTTAAGACAGACAAATAATCTCTTTTATTTGAGCTGGTTCTTTGACTTTCTAATTTGACTGAAGAATTCATCATACTTTTATTATTGCTGGTATCTTCTATGTTGACTGTCGAATCATCTTTAAAATTACATTCATTTTGATTATTCGTTATTTTTGCATCACCATAAATTATGTCCGCACATCTTGGCTTAAGTCTATCACTCTGAATTTTTAACTTTTCAACCTTCCAACAAAAAAATTATAGAAAAATGACATTGATTATAATAAACAATTAAATTTTTCAGTAGGGATTTACAAAGTGTTTCGAGAACAAATTTATGGGATTATCAGTGACCATTAAGCATACTTACATATTAATACATGAAGATGTCAAGATATGCCTAATTATAAGTAAAAACCAAGTATGGTTTATACATCATATTCACATATAATAAACTGATATGTCTTACTGATTGAACGCTATACTCGGATCCTAAGCTAGTCTCGTAACCCCCAAGCTAGAACTACACAGCGACTTGAACACGAGAGAAAAGGCACAAAATATGCGGGAAGCACTTTACTTAAAAGGTTCATTTATGTACAGAAAATATAGGGCTTTTATGGTATTTTAAAAGTTCTTGGGTTTTCCTGAAAATTCTAGAATACTACTAAACATAGTAGCAGTGTAATAATCAACCAATCAGAACCTCTACATGTGACTTTTCACTTTCGTGATATTTCTAGCAAAACTTCTAATCAAACGCTGATTGGATAAAATGCTTCTTAATGTTTCCTGAGCTTGTCATGTCTACTGCGAGAAATTTGAAGGTTCATCCCAACATAAACAAACAATCGTCACAAATTGTAAAGATTCTGGGATTTTGTCTATGGCATGGCGGAAATTAAAAGTTTTGATTATTATCGTTTGGTAGAAATTCCATCATCGGAACGTGTCTACCTCAATCATGTAAAAATCAGGACTATGATTACATTAAATTGAGCAAAAAACCTAAAACTATTGGCAGCAATGCTAAACTGAATCAAAGTTTCCCTAGATTATTATTTCTTAAAAAATCACACTTCAAATAAGAATATGAATTGTGAGGAAGATTTATGCTAGCCCCTTGAGATCGTTAGCACCTATAAACATTTATCCAATATATGTATGTAAACTAGTACTTTATTCATCTTTAGTTCCTCGCCTGCTGAAAATGACATATTAAGGCCTTCAACCAACATGGAAATTCAAACGAAGATTGAAAGTGACATTGTTTCACTATTTAGTAAATATCCATATGTAGACTACTGACACATTTGTAAGTAGTATAAGCTAAACATCATTTTCACCATCATGTTGGAATTTGAACTTCACACTGTATTGCAGTTTGACTAATGGATAAATGAAACATAACAGTCGCAAACAAACTAAACAACATTAACTAAACCTTTTTAAATAGATCCTATTACCAAATAGCATTTAAAAAGCTTTACATGGTAGAATTAAAACACGACCTCAGCAACTGTAGGTTATTAACATCAAAAAAATAATAATTTTTGGCTAGGTTCAATCGCATTTCTCTGTTCGTAGATAACTGCATATTAGTGATCTGAATATTCTCAAGGCATGAAAAGTTTGATGACTAAATTAAAGATATGGCTAGAATATCTAAAATATGAATAATGTTTACATCTTAGTGATAAATATATATAAGTACGGAATGACTTCGAAATAATAGTTGCTAAACACGTGGACTTGCAATGGCCTTCAGGTCTTATTTCAACTTTTGAAAAAGACATTTTTACCGAGAGACATTCAAATAGATGATGGCGCGTAAACAAAAAGATGTTGGGCATAAGCACATACCTGTTGACGATTCTTGATTTTTTCCATGAGTAATAAGGAAATTTCCGGAGGTTGATTGTAAGTAGACAATGGGGGGTCTCGCATTTTATGCATTTTTGGAATCTGAAAAGGTATTCGCATTAGTGATTTTTATGTTTTACAATATCTGGTATAGGAATAGATCGTGTTTTTGGTTGCGTTAGCCTGAATGGTTTAACTTCTATTAAATAAAGTTGTATTGACTTGTTCTTTATTCATATGGTAGTTACCTGTAGTTTTCTTATGATCAAATGTACTTTTTTCTGATTCCAGAGACTTTCGAAAGGCTATAAATACAGGCGTCCATCTAGAAATGGTGAATAATTGATACATATATCCCAAATTTTACCAGCGATGAAATACTAAACATAGTTAGAGTGAAGTAATTGGTACATAGAGTTATCTTATGAGGTTGCTGGTGAGAATTATCGGACATTTTTAACGTTAGATCTATTATCCTAAAGTCAGGAAGTTGAGAATAGTCACTACTCCTAGGCAATTCAACCTATTACGAATTCAAATAGAATCCATCCCTATTTCACAGTACATTAACTATATGGATGCGGTGCCTAAGTGAATAACTCGTTGAGCGTTTGACATAGGAGATATTTGGTTCAAATCCCAGAATGAGCATCAGTCAGTCATCTACAACGTAAGACCAGGGACATATATGAATCTATCCAAGTTTCCATACATTATTAGCACAACAAGATCAACAAGAAATTCATAGAAGCAGGTACTTCAATGGTAGAAAAGACATTTCATGCAAGGATATGATATAAGGAGAAAGAATTAGTTCATGGAAAGAAAAGTGTGATTTAACTATAACTTTTCGGTTTAAGGGAAGACAAAGAGTGTATGCACCTACGCCATTATGATCGATTCTGAGCCATGTCACACAGAGTCTCCAACCATTGATTACAACAGTCACGTGAACCACAACCAAGTAGTCTGCATCTACCAACATGGCTCAGATTAGAAGTTAGCAACTTTAAAGAGTGACACAACATTTTGCTTTGGCCACCCCTAACTCTCTTCCAACCATCCCCTAAACAAGTCAACATTGCGCGTCGTGGTAATCGGTGTTTGGGCATACGTAAAAGGTCACGCAACCATCTCAATCGATGAAGATTCACAACCTCATCAACTAATTTACCATAACTCCTCAATACCCTGTGTCTAACCTCACTATTACTTACCCGGTGATCCCAGCTGATAAAACCAATATTTATAAGGCATCTATGGTCAAATACTATTAACTTATGGGTATCCTCTACTGTTAATTACCAGGTTTTGTAGCCTCTACAGCAAGATAGAACATACTGCCGAGCAGTATACTCGTCCCTTAATTGGTAGATGAATATCTCGTCTTCGTCATAGGTGACGTAACTCGGAAGAAGTCAAACGAGATTTTTAAATCCGTGCTGAGATTTCGTCAGACACCAACCCATTAGGGCTGATCAGACTTCCAAGATAAGTGGAGTTGCCGGTGCGTTCGACTACTTCACTCCCTATCTTTAGTTCAGGTGTTGACACAGGCCAGTTCTGGAGCATCCCAAACATCCAGTCATTGTTGTTCAGTGCTACTAAAACACTGCATTTCATCGACATCTTCATCTAACAGGACTAAGCCATGTGCGTATTCTAGGTCAATAAGTGGACCTCGTGTTAAGGGATCAAGTCCTGAAAATTCAACCAACAAGAAAATTGTTTTCAGCAGTAAGTCTATGGTGAAATTGAACATAAATGATGGTAGTGAACAGCCATCCTGGACGTCACTCGACGTTAAAAAATAGGATGACAGTTTGCCACAAGCTCTCATCCAACTAGTAGTGCTCAAGTAAAGGTTTATGTACTTCTGAGGTACGCTTTTCAATGACAGACACTGCCAGAAAACTTCTTGGTCTACAGAGTCAAATGCTGCATTCAAGTCCAGTAAGAACACCACTCTCAGACATCGATAGGCATTCCTGTGTTCTGAAATATAAAGAATGGTGGATATGTGGTCAATGCAGCCACGACGAGTTCTGAAGCCAGCCTGGTTTTCTGGTTTACAATTGATTGATCACTGGGTAGTGGTCAATACCATGTAGGTCAGGTCCTTCGTAATGCAGATCGAGTTCTATCGACCACGTTGCAATGTGGTCAGTAGACTATGTGACTCAACATTGCGTGCACTATGCTGAGATGAGATGGTGATTGGATTTAGTCGACAGGAAACCGTGGACCTAGACTTCGTGCAACTTGGTCGATATAATTTTATCTGGACTAAGAAGGACTTGACATACATGGCATTTTTCACCGTCCAGTGATCAATCAATTGTAAATACATCTCATTCCTACAGGAAGTCAGTTACTGTCCGGATAGCTAAGTGGTAAAGTCTCTGAATGTGAAGCTGGGTGACATGCTATCAAATCCGTCAGAGAACATCGATTTCTTTAAGATTACAGTTACACCTTGCTGGAGAGTTCCAAGTAGCACGAAACTTAAGTTCTCAGTTTCCTGTCGACTACCTACAATCACCATCTCATCTTGTATTCTCGTGTTTGCAGTTCACAAAACTTTGTTAGGCGTCAGGCAACTATTGAAGCTGGTATTTCAGATGCAATATTAATTAAACAAATCTAAGGTCATCACAGGATGATTTTCATCCTTTCAAGTGTAAATCTAGACGGTGAGTCCCAAGAAGACCGAACGTGTGTCCCAGATTCTACTACTAACCACACTATATCCTTCTGCGTATTGAACTCAAAGTACGTCCACTGGACATAAAATGATGGTGCTTGTCCTTAATGAGGATTCCAGCCAAGTGTTTGAGTTGGAAGTAAACTTTCAAATCAAACCGAGATAAGTCTGCAGAGCAATACTGTTAGCAGCAACAATACTAGGAATAAAATTTACATGCATTAATTTGTAATTTGTTTGGAACATTGAGAAGCGCCTTAGTATGGACATAAAAATATTGATTTTAATAGTTGAGATAACGAATCGACTGAAGCTAGACCACCATGAAAAAACCTGGAAGCATTGAACGGCCGTTTCGTCCTATTGTGGGACTCCTCAGCAGTTTGCATCCATGATCCCGCCTCGCAAGATCAGTTTCGCGCGCGAGCGCTTAAACTCAAGACCACCAAGCCGGCATCCAACGGTGTTAATGTCCAACCGATCCACGAAATCGAGCGACACATTCACCAATGTCTTCGATGAGTTATTATCTCACAACAGACCTGATTGAACTCCACTGATCACTGCTTCTCGCTATAACTCTTGGAAATAATTCTTGAAGTCAGTCACTAGTGAGAATACGTTGATTATTATCAGAAGGGGTTTTGTGGATATTATAGTAATTTTAATAGTTGGGATCATGAATCAATTGAAGTTAGACCACCGAGGACGAAACAGTCATCCAGTGCTTCCAGATTTTCCATGGTTCAATTGATTCATGATTTCAACTATTAAAATGACTGTAATACCCACAAAACCACTTCTGATAATTAAAATATTACTTGCTGCAAGTTATAAAAGTATAATTTAAAAAGGGCTTATGTATAATGATCTGAAAGTACGTAGCTACGGCGAATGAACATATACCGGCTACAAACAGGAATAATAACCACGCTACGCTAAATTTATAAATTTTTAAGAATAGAGAGATGTTTAATTGACACAAAAAAGAATAACCGTAATAAGTGATAAAATAATAGGATTACAATATAAAAATCGATCGTTTCACAAGCATATGTAAGTACTTCGAAAATACACACATTGAAACTACGAGATGTTATGAGCTGTGGCTTAAAATGTTTAACAGTGATATACGCTAGTAAGTGGGCAGACAATACAGTTTCATAAACAAAGTCAACAAGAAATAAATAAAAGTGTAAAGAGCAAACAGAATTCACAGACGTACTGCTTTTAAAAATGTGAATAATCTATAAACTTTCAGAATATCAATATTTGGGCAGCTTGCTTATGTTAACTGACAGTCCGTTTGAGTAAAATTGAAGTAATACGTCAGTACACAAATGAGGTCAGATAATTACATTTTTCATGATATAAACTAACCTTACTAGAGGTTCAATCAGAAATTTATCCACAAATGATTCATCATAAACATGAATCCACTCCGATTTCAGTTCGTGCATTACTTCAGATGAACATAAAAATCTAAGGAACTAGAGAGACATACATAAGTATCTTGGTGAACTTACTTCTTTACAATATTGAACTTTCACACAACAAAGGAAGTGCCTCAGTCCGTTTTCTCCAAAGGTCTCCATTCCAAGTAGTGATACGTAAAAAATAACTATGAAAAATTATGACTATTTACTGGAACGTTATGTGTAAATTTTATACGTGACTTGTCTCACGCATGAGAATCAACTTACAAACAAACTCGCTTTTGAATGACGGAAGTAGTGTAAAACTGCAAAATTTGTAAAGCTTCGTCACACATGGCTTTAAAATATTTCTAAACTTCATAATTTCAGTGAATAGATCAAATGCTTTATCATTATAGTCTAACTTCTCCTTAAAATCCTTAACAATGGATAAGTTAAAAGAACGTAGTTCTACTTCTTTGGAAAAAGCTAACGCACTTCTTGGCCAGAAATATTCCTTTATAAGGGATACAGTTTCTTGAAAAAGCATCGGAAGTCCTTTCATTACTTTTAAAAATTTACTGTTTATGATCACCTTGGGTCAAGGACATATGTATTCATTATGTAAATCCAAGGTGCTCAATAAATGAGCTGTAAGGAAAAACCTTAAAACTTTCTACTTAGGTTCCACATCCGGATCTCCTATTTCGTGTAATTTCGTAATAGATAAGTCAATAAAATGTTTTTTTTAACAATATACCAACAAAAATGAGCTGTTGACTTCAACTTTAGGAAAATCAGCGAACGGTTTGTTCATTAGGATCCACTTATGGGTAGTGAGAGTGCTTTATTAATTGCAGACGGATGTGGTTCCTATTGTAACCCCTCTTTGGACCGAAGTTAGAAAAAATCTAATCTATCATAGATATTATCGATCAGTAACACTTAAAATGATCCCCTCCTTAGTATTGACTGAACTAAAGTAATCGTCGAGCCCTCTTCCGGAAGATTCGATGCAGAGCAACACCCCTATATCTTCATTTAGGGAGTCCTGCGATCCATGGACTCAAGATGAGTAGAAGTTTCGCATTTGTGTGTGAGCACTTTCCTATCCTCTCTTAAGTGATTGTCCTTTTAAGTTTGGTTTAACACAGAAACGCATCAGTGGTCTTTACTGCTAGCAAAACTACTGAGCATCGTCCTACACTATTGTATGACACGATCCTCTTACACCGCTATAAGTTTGTTTTGTTGTCTGAGTACCCTTATAGTTGCTCTTTTCAAAACATATTCCAAGGGAACAGTATCCTCTTTATGAAAAATCTTAGTACTAAACTCAGTGGTCAGGAAACACTAAGTAATTGTGTCCAAACAAAGTCATTGCTCGTAGATAAAAGGTCTTCAACTGTCACGTGATTAACTTGTAAACTGAGTGAAGTATTCAAGCTGTTCTTAACTATCATACAGGAGTCTCAGATATTTAAAGTACTATACGCGACTTTTGTATCGCACTTTTACACAAGTTCTTCTTGAACGTGGTTTGTTACACTCAAGGTGTGAAATCTTGTCCATTATTAATCAAGTTTGCGAAAAAAGCAAGTAAACACTATCTCAAAAATATAATATTATGTTACATTTTCGTTGTTCAAACGTGTTAACGTTCCAATTTTGGCACCAGCACATCGAAATTTGTGACTCTGGCTTAGTTCATGTACTTAGTGCTTATACTTCACAATTAGAGCTCAGGGTCCGCGAGATTATCCAAAGGAAGTATAGGTGGCATTAACGCTGGTTATTGTTACTTTAGACAATAGCAATTAACAATGTTATCGAAAAACTTCACTATATCAGTGACTGAAACTTATTGTATTTGCTGGATAAAAATGTTTCTTGTGTCATTATTGCCTAACTTGTTCTGGTTTGACTACTTGTATCTCGTCCAAAATTTGGATGTGGCTTCCGAAGTTATGACAAAGACTTTCATAATAGCTGGCCGGAGGGAAGTAACGATAAGCACTGAGCAATTAACTAAAATTATCGTTTTCAACTTAATGACCATGCATTAACCGAACTATTTTGCACCGTACATGGCTCTATATCTTATTTTCACTATTCTTCAACTATCAATTGTTTGTCTAAGAGCAGGGGCCATATATTTTGTTAACGTTTATAATCTACATTTCAGTTTTACAACCACTAGTAACATTCTTACGCACTGCCGCTTGTTTCCCCAGATCATAATTCCAGTATGGTAGAACCTGCAGAATCCATTTCGTGATTTTTATGTAGCCTATAAAATGGTATGATTTATAAGTATTTCCGAGTAGGAAGAGATCCAACCACCGTTAAAAAATGGGTTATTTCATATCTAAATTGTCTGATTCATTACATGATAAACTAATCTTTATCTCCTGCTATATATAGACATCTTGATTCAGTATAAACTAAAATTATTTGTTCTGAAAAACTTAAAGATTTGGTTGTTGTTAGCCCTGCCTAATCAGCATAGCAGTTAAGTTACCTAAAAAATATTTTTAGCTGATTTGTTAAGTTCCGTAAAATCAAAGAACCTGTTGATTCTTGAGCAAAACAGGTTTCGGATTGAACATTCATACTTAACCAACTTACTTATAGTTAGAGCGTGTTGGACGGGAGCTCAAGTTAATGGTTTATATCTTGATGTGATATTCATATTTTTAGCGGGAGATTTGTCAAAGTTCCTCATTTACGGCTTGTTCAGAAGCTCTCAAGCTTTGGAATAGCAGGTGCCCTACAAGAGTGGATAAGAAACTTCCTCTGTAATCGAGGACAGAGGGTTAGGGTAAATGGTACATTGTGTGAACGAAGGCCGGTCAAAAGTGATGTACTTGGACGCATCATTTCAGGTCCCCTATTTTTCTTCTCTATGATAATGAATTGACAGTACTGCTTAAGTCCTTGTAATTATTATCTGCTAATGATGTCGAAAATGTGGGGAACAACAAGTAAAACTTTTGGCCCGCAAGCTGGCCAGGGCAAATAAGTTAGATTGTCTTAATCCAGAGGTCTGGAGGTGAAATATAGAGGGAATGGGCTAATGCACATCGAATGTGGTGATTACTAACGACATACTATCAACAGTACTTCCCTTCCACGTATGCAGGAATGCAAAAGTTGGGGATAAAAGTAATTGGAACGACTGCACATTACAACTCAACGGCCACCAAATGCTTTGATATTTCGGATTTTTTATCCGATGTTCACTTACTTAGGCATCATCATTGGTCAACAAGGAGGGTCTGATGAAGGCGTAAAGGTGATGAATGTCAAAGCAAGGGCAGCATTCCTACAGTTGAAGAACATATGTAACTCAGAACGACTGTCAACCAATACCAGAATCAAAATCCTCAACACGAACATCAAGACAGTTGTACTTTACGGAGCTGAAACTTGGAGAACTACTACAATCATCATCAAAGTAGTGCAATTATTTATAAACAATCGTCAACGTAAGATACTCAATGTCCATTGGTTGGATATCATAAGTTACAGCCTACAATGAAAAAAACAAATAAACCTTCAACTGAAGAGGAAATTAGGAAATACGTCGGAATCGGACAAGACATACATTGTGGAAGTCATCAAACTGAATCACGAGGACAACCTGGAATCTTGAAGGCCGATGAACACACTGCGTCGAGAATCGTGAGTACACATAAAAAGGATGGATAGCAACTGGAAAATACTGGAATGGTTGTCTGGGCAGAGTTGGATGGAGATTGCCGGTGATCAGCCCATGCCTCTCCATGAGAGGTAACAGCCGTAACTAAGTAAGTAAGTATGTATGACTACACCATAAATACTGAGTTCAATCATTCAGCTCTTTTCTTTCTAAGGATGCCAACATACTCGAGTGTGTCCACTGTGTGGGAATAAATTCACTACAGAGTCTTTTCAAACTCACAATGAAAAATGAAAGTGGCTGAACCCCCTCCTTTGATCATATCGTAGCATGCAAGGTGACTTTATATCCCCACCCGAAGGATTTTTCACGGAGAAACATTAGTTGACAGGTCATCGTCACAGTTTTCACGTCATCCCTAAGTCTTAGTGGATGACAATAGAGTAGACGAAACAGTCCTAAAACAAGCATGGATACAAGCTCTCCCATGTTCCGTCCTAAACTGCTCGCATGCTCAAGATCTTGAAACAACTTTATCTCATTTAGCGCGTATAGCCGACAGAAAAGTGTAAGGAGGTCCCCCAGCCGGATTACGCACGATAAATGACGCACAAGAAGAATCATCAGGCATAGAAGAACTGATCGCGAGTGTTAAAAGTCTCACTGAGGCTGCCGCCTAAAAGCGAATGAGTCATAGAAACCGGAGCAGGTCGATATAAGGCCCAATATTAATGTCAAAAAACAGGTCAGAAATGTCCAGATAATCATGGCAGTCCCGTTCGTACCACTGGGTGTTTGTTGTCAACCCATCCACTGCAGACAACTATGCGCCTGGCTCAAACAGAATCCCAGGAATACGGGAAACAAATAACCCCTCAGGTCGCGAAGACTGAGGAAGGGCGCCTAAAGAGTGGCTTGTTCTCAAGCTGCCAATAAAACTAAAATCGTTACATATGGGCAGAAAACTTTAACTGTAGATTCAAAGTTCTGGAGGCAATTCCCCTGGGTTTTCACTGTAGCCGATTTAGATCTGGCAATACTGGAAGTGGTTTTTTTTAAAGAGATACGAATTTCTAGTTGAAACTAAAAAACACACTGAAAGAAACTTCGAATTACACAAAAAGCTAAAAAGTCACGTCACATCTTTCAATTTTACACAAACTCCTCCAGTAACAACAGCGAAATTTCAGGATATACTAGAGAAATTTCCGTACTTAACCGAACCCACAACCTTCCGAAAGCAAGCTAGAAGTAAGTCATACGATCAAATGCGATGGTGCACCTGTGTTTGTCGGACCCAGGAGAATAGCACCATATAAGTTTAAAAGCACTAGGATCGAATTTGAATACACGCTACAAGCTCATTCCTCCACGTTGATGCATCCGAATTCCATTTCCCTACTTGCTTTGATGGTGGATGCTTCGGACAAATCAGTAAGCGGTACTAAAAATCAACTGGTCAGAAACGCCTGGAAACCGATTGTTTTCTTCTTAAAAAGACTTCATTTAACAGAGACAAAGTACTCTACTTTTCGGCGAGAACTTCTTGCAATCTACCTAACCATTGAGCATTTCTGACACATGTTAGAAGGCAGAGACTTCATAGGTTTTACGGATCACAAACCATTGACCGATTCACCAAACGCGAAAGTCGATAAATACTCACCTCGAGAAGTCCGACAACTGGACTATATATCACAGATCACAAGTGATATACGACATGTCAAAGGCCAGGAAAATCATTATCTCGACAAGAAATGAATTTGATGCAACAGTCTACTGTAAATTTCGAGCCACTAAGATATAAACAAGAAGAGGACCAAGAATTATGAAACCTACTTACAACAAACAACTCCACTGTAGCTAGCACACAATCTAAATAAAGGCCTATTCATTATTAGTCTGGTTTCTTCTATCAACAGAACAAGGATTACCTACGGGCACGAAAATTGAACTCTCAAGTAT